ACTGCTCAAGGCGGTCAAGGCAGTTCTGTTAGTTTATTAGACAAATTTGTAATGCGGTTTTAGTATCCAGTAATGCTGTACTGATAAAAGAGAGCCGGTGGATTATGATGCAACGACAGTAGAACTACATTCATTGTGGAGGCAAGAGGTCGTTCCCGCGAGCAGGAAAACCAATTCTTCAAAGTTATGTCTTCGTTCTGATGATAAAGTTGTATATCTCATGCCAAAGGCCGAATGACAGTATCAGGTTGTTTTTAAGCAATCATTCGAAAGTGGGAGATAGTCATTGGTCGCCACTGGCAATATGTTACAGCTCAGATTACTTCCGAGTGTTTCCAGGTTACTTCTCAGGTTAGTTCCGAGGTCGTCACTGGCAATATGCTCAGGTTATTTTCGAAAGCTTCACAAAAGATTACGGCTTCTAACTTGATAAAAAGCCAAAAGCGTATTACTTGGGTTTGATCGCTGCTACGAAATCCAGTAAATTCCCCAAAAGGGCTGTTTCTTCTTGCGCAGTTGGTGTGGATGAAATAAGTGCACTGACTGTAAATGCATATGCTGCTAATGGAACGAATGGTACGTTGTTTTCCGAACTGAAAACAAATTATTAAATGAATAGTTCTTCAAAAAATTCATATAGTTTAATAAATGAATCATCTGGAAAAATTTAAAGTTCATAAAATTTAAAGTCATCTGGAAAAATTTAAAGTTCATAAAATTTCAAGCCCCATCTTACTGAATTAATGAGGCAGAAAACTTGCATTAATTAAAAATGAAAAGAAGGGAATCTGGAAAACAAAATCTGACGAGTCAAACAATGGTACATTCCGTCTTTTTGTTCTGAAGTATTGCCGAAAATATGGCATAATTTACTAAGAAATTGCTTAAACCCTGAAATGTGCTACTGCTCGCTGCAAAACTGCAGAATCAGATTATGAATCAAAAAAATTAAAGTACTCACTGCCTTACACAGATTGGATGATCCTACGATGTCACACAGCAAACACAGGGCGAAATTAGAACATGCATGGAGCTCCCAAAAAACCAAAGTGAAAATGTTCGGAGGTGAGAATCAAACGATTAGTGACGGCTTTCTAGTTCCAAATGGATTTACCCAAGTGGTAGGTGACATATCCACCCTTGCTGCACTGCAGTACAGGAGTAGCAAAATCACACTGTTCACTGAACAGAATGAAATGACTTAAGAGGTTGTATAAAATACCCACATAACATACAAACACATTTCAAACTGTCAGATGTGAAGTT